TGCACATCATCAAATCAGTATACATATGTATATTCTTGATTTATTTTCACAAATAGGAAATAATTTTGATAAATTAAATCTGAAAATTGTAGTGTAAGAGCACAAAAATGTAAGAACATTATAGTACATCAATATTTTTTACATAGGAGCCACCTCTACCAGATTTAGTCCAGTTTAGCGGTTTGGCTGCAGCATGTTTAGCAGAAGTATTTATGTATATGTGGCCAGCAGAATTTTTGATGCGTACGGTAAATTGTTTGTCATTTAAATTTACTATTTTGTGTATTTAATTGTAATTTTTAAAATATTTATTATTTTTTTCCCAGAACTCTGAGATCGGACAAGTAGTATTCCATTTACTCGAAAAGAATCATTTGAATAATTTCATTCAAATACGGCAAAATCTGCAATTTTTTATAATGCGATGTCAGAAACCAATAATAATTTCAATTCCCTGTCTTCTGCCGGAACTATCTTTTAATTATTTTGCAAAAGTAAGATCAAATTTCGTATTTATTTGGAAAAATTTATAAAAATACTATTATAATATACCTCATCCTTATTACGTATTATAGCACCACCACAAACAATTCCATATTTTGCAAATTTTCTATTAATATTTGTTTTCGTTATTACTGAATATTTAAACTATAGAATAATAAAATATATAGAATAATAAAATATATCTTTGAAAAAAAAGATATGAGCAAAATTGTAATGGTATCTTTATGAATTATCACATAATTATTTTATTCTATGTTACAGTATATTTCGACTATACTCTCCTATTTCACAACACTGCGTGTGATGATAGACGAAGGATAATTACAAGAATACTCAGTATTGTATACAATTGAAATATAGGGGAGACTGGGGTTGGTTATGACATTTTTAGGAAAATGTTATCCTGTATTTTACTAGTTCAGTTGTTTCATACAAATATAGTCATATTTGACTGAGTGATCTTTTAGCTTTAAAATACAATAGAAATTTCGAGAATCGGCCTGCTACAACTATAAAGAATTAATGAAATTGTAAAATTTGGTCAGTGTAACTTTTTACCCCTGCCCTGGGGTAGGTTGCTACACTATACGGCCTCTCCCTCTCTCTTCCCCCCTTCCTTTCCCTTTTCCCCCCTGTCCATCTCCACTCCTTGCCATCCACCCACATCCTTCTGTTCTCCACCCATACCTCCCTTCTCTTTTCCCTTTCTATTCTCGCCCTCTCCATCATCCTCCATCTCGTCCTCCTCTCCTCCATATTTAAATCCTCACCTACACACAGAAAAATATTATTGTACAGTCAAGAAAAGTAATTACTCAGTTTATTTTATTCCGTTTAAGTAATAGTTTGCTTCAACAAAGAATATTTTCTTAATAATAGTTTTAAGATATACTTGTTACTAGTCTTAGAAAAGCTTGCCATTTTATACTCAAAGAAAGAATTTATTCTTCTTTGAAGAAAATTATAAAACTTATTGAAGAATTCCATATGCTTCTTTTAATAAAATCAGAAGAAACAAATTGTTTTGCTTCAAATAATTCTATGTATTCTTGTTTGAAATACTAGACTTACTAAGAACCAGAATATGTTTTGAGAAAATACGAGTATAACACTTGCGACGACATTATGATAGATTTGCGGATATATAAACTTATCAAATACTTGGAACAAATAATATTTACTTGCAGGTAGTATATATTTTTCTGTGTGTACGCTCAATCCCCATTTTTTCCACATCCACTCCCTTCCCTCTAGTATCTTTATCTTCTCGATCCGTCATCTCCACTATCGCTACTACTCTCCCCCCCCCCTCTCCCTGTCTTTCTATAACCTTTTCTACCTCTGCCTCTCTCTTAAGTCAATCTCTTATCGCCCTTCTTATTATCCGCTCTCTCTCCTCCCTATCCTCTCCTTCAACCCCCCTCCATATCATCCTTCTTCTCCTCTTCTCTGCTTCCTCTTCCTGCTCGATCTCCCTCTTCTCCCTCCGCTTCTTTCCACCCCGAGTTCCATTTTCAAGTAAAATACAATTATTATTTAAGCTGTTTGCATGAATCGTATATGTTTTAGTGTGTAATATTTTATATTGAGAAGAAACGTTATATCCTTCTATTAATGGTCCGTTTAAGTGAGATTTTTGAAAACGCATTTCATAACTGTTTTCCCGTTTTTTAATAGGCAAGTAACAATTGTTCATTTCTGTGTATCTCCTTGATGATTGTTGAAGAGGTTTCTCATTCTTTCGAAGCATTTTCTTGATATTTAACATATAATTTTCGAATCTAAAAGCACTAAACTCGTCGAGAGGTCCGTACTTTTGCACATCAGAACAAATATGTAACAAATTATGTAAATTATGAGACATAAATTTAGCACCGTAACTTTATTTAAAACATTTTAAGAAATATTCTAATAAATTTTGAGCCCACATAATATTATTATGATCATTTGAAAGAATAGAACTAGCAAGAATTGTTATGGCAATGTGTAAAGTTATAAAATTTATGTAACAATCTTCTCTTAATATGCCTTTTAATACAACAGGACCTGTGTAAAGAATAAACTGTCGTAATTCTGTTGCCTTCCACATTTTTATGTCTTTTAACGATCGAGGGCGTCGAACAAAATCATTTGGCATACTATTTTGTAAATTTAATAAAGATCCTGAAATCTGATTTAACAATTCTTCCCATACAGCACAAATTGTTACAGAAAGGTTTCAGAAAGATTTCAAAATTATTTCAATATTTCACATTTCATGCTCAACATTTCAAACAGAATTCTGCAATATGTCATATGAAATGATGCAACAGAAATGTTTCAGTATGTAATAAATTTGAAAAAGTAATGCGAATATTACAAAAAGATTTTTCTCGCTTTTTGAGTCACCCATATGGAACGTTGAAATAAAGCAATGATTGACTACTGCGTCATTTTTTAAAATTTCAAAATATTTAAATAATTTTGAAATCTTTCTGAAACCTTTCTGTAACAATTTGTGCTGTATGGGTACAAGCAGTCGCTTAATGTAAAGCTAACAGAGTTGATAAAAAACCTGCGATAAAGAACCATCCGTTGCGGAAAAACATTTAAAAAACACTTAACATAACTTAATATGATTTAAAAAATTTCTAAAGCATTAAAATTTTATTTTAATAAGAGTTTATTAATCAGCTTGCGCAAAATATTATAAAAAACGTTAACACAAATATTTCAATAATTGAGACAATTTTACAGTACGAGGACCTTGAACCCAAACTAATATTAATTTTTTAACAACTCCTAAGCATATCAAGTGCATATAATCAAGTACTACGTTGGAAACTAATCAAAAATTAGGAAATTTTAAAATTCTTTTAAAATTGTCTCTCCAGTTTGGTAATTATCATATTTATTGCAAGCGAAATCTTGATCGGTTCGTAAATTATCAACTATTTTTATCGCTGGAAAACATAACCGCCCATCAATGTAGTCACCTTTAACAGTGCATCGTGTACAGCTATTATAACCGCTATGATTTTTTACACCCAAAACAAAAGATTTTGCCGGAGCATCACAAATCAAGCCATGTAAATTAATTTTTACTTTAATTCCGTTATAAAATAGACCATTATTTATTAATGAAATTGCTTCATCAACAAAATATCGTAAGAATTCGTTGTTATTATGAGGTTTGGTTTCACCATGATATGCACCGACAATAAAAACCGACTTTAAAACTGTGTCTGAACATAAAATAGGCCATAAAGCAGAATTATTTGATTTGGAAATCGGTAAACCATCTATATTTATAAAAATGTCAAGATTATCAGTAATTTGACCCATAACTTTCATGTATTCATCTAACATATGCGTTAAAGCGTTTTTTAAGCCAAAATGACAATATTGTCCAAGCCCCATTTCAACGATTGCAGTATGCCTTGGCGTTTTTAATAAAGTTCGAGGGTCTTTTGGAAATGAATGACTCGTGAACTTTCATAATATAGCTAAAAGAGCCAAAAGTGCAACATGACAAATATTAAATATAATAGCCCAAGAAGCTATAGCCTGAATAAATTGATTATCTTCACAAGTTCTAATTTTATCAACAACGTCCACACTTCCTGTATTACAATTTACCACCGTTTCTTCATCTAACTCATCTGTATGTATCACTTTCTATTGGTTCTTCATTTGATTCCAAATCATCTTCAACTGTATCGCTATAGATTAGATCATCATGTGCACATGCTTCGTTACTGTTAACAAATTCATCATTTAACAATTCTAAGTTATTATTATGTTAGAATGTGGTAATTTGTCGTCTCTCGATTCAAAGTTTTCATTAATGTTTGAAAAATTTGAAATATTTAATAAATCAGAAGCAGTTTTATTTGCAATAATTCTACGAATATGTCTTTCAGACAATGAGGAATAATTTTTACGTTTTCTATCCATTTAGTTTTTCGGCTAAAAATTGTGAACTTTTAATTATTAGTGTACCTGAAAAAAAATATTATAAAGTAAATTTTAACTTTTACTTTCTTAAATGTTAAACGCAGAATTTTAATAATGCATGTATACAAAATAAAAAAATATTTTATCATTATTTTTAGAAACCGAAAAGTAATATTACTTTATATTGAATCACACACCACACTTTGAGTTTATTACTACGACCGTTGGAACCTATATGTATACTAACCCATACAGCACAAGAACGTCCAGCAACATTGCAGCAACATTGCAGCAACATTGCAATGTTGCTGCAATGTTGCAGGACGTTCTTGTGCTTTATGGGAATTTATGTTGTTGTGTAAAATAAAAAATCTGTATATACATTAACCTCAAAATAATAGGAAGTTAAAATTTAAAATGATCTACTTATAAACTTATATTTAATATATGCATAAAGTTTAAATAATGATATGAGTTTATAGAGTAAACTTAAGTAAAATTAGCATGCATTGCAGGTTAAGGTAATTATGTAGAATAGGGCCTTTTCCGAATTTTGATATTTTCTTGCGGTTTTCTTGGTAAAAACCTTTGTTGTGACTCTGACAGTGATAATCAATCGGGGGAGCCCGAAAAATATGCACCCCGAGTGACCTTCAGAAGGTTAACCCGGGTTAACTGTTCTGTAAAGCAGATAATTTTCCATCATTTGTAAGTCCATACGCACACAAAAATATTGTGCTTTACAGAAATATGCAACCCGATACAAAATGTGTCCGATCGGGCCTGTGTCCGATGCCATGACGTACGACAGACGGCTAAAACCTTCTGAAGGTCACTCGGGGTGCATATTTTTCGGGCTCCCCCGATTGATTATCACTGTC